GTTCTGACTTGATGGCACCTGACAACAACAACAACAACAATAGGCGTTGCCTGCCTGGTGCTGAGTGGCTGTTTCTCAGTGCTACCTAGTTGCCTTTTGTGAGTTTTGCCAATCTTTTTGCCTTACCTCTGTCCACGGGTTCTCTGGAGGTCATGAAAACTTTTCCTCAGGCTTTTCCTTCAGCCACAGTCAAATCCAATGCCATCAAGTTGAATTCAACAGGCTCACAATCTATTCACTACCATCTTCAAGCTAGCGTGGCTTGTTTTGTCCCTTATTAGTTCACTTGATGTTCTGGGCTATGGAGTAGGGTGGGTTGGGCAATTTCTGTTGCTTGTTGATAACACAGACATACACACACACACACACACACACACATGAATGAGTCCCTTTGAATATTGAGTCCTATTGTTAAAAGCCATACCCCCCCCCAAGAAAAAATTGAAAATCACTGTTTTAGGAAAGCTGCAATTCAGTAGAATGATGAATTAGCAATTATAATGTGCTATGGATTAGAATTGGTTTATCACTGTAAGATAAGCACTAGACTGCTAACTGCCATTAGCCACTCTCCAAAACCCTACACAAGGTTGCTATGAGCCAGAACACAACAACATAGACTAGAAATAAGAATCTCTAGAGGCAAAATCACTATTAGTCCTGAACTACTCCAAGTTCATAAGAATCCCTGGGTAGCATAGTGAATTACAAGCTGGGTTGCTAACTGTAAGGTCAGTAGTTCAAATCTAACAGTTGCTCCACAAGAGAAAGATGAGGTTTTCTGCTCCAGTAAAGATTTACCACTTCAAGTTCATGACCACTTGAATCTGCTAAGTTCTAAGGATACTGTAACCTAGATCTTTACTTCAGCAATTTTTAATCATGTCTTTACCCTTAAGTGACATTCAGGGGAATACAAAGATATGTATAGTTTACCTTTGAAATACCTGGGTTTGAACATTGTACCTTCACTTGTATGCAGATTAAAAAAAAAACACATAAAAAAACAACAGTTGCTTGATGCTAATCATCAGTGTGAGCAGTTCGTCTCTCCAGTAAATTGTATGAGAGTAAAAAATACTCTTCACTCAAGTGTTTTTCAACATATTTAGTGCAATACCAAGAGTCCTGGTGTGGCGCTGTTGGATAAGCATTTGGCCACAAGGTCGATTTGAACTGCAAGGGTTCAAATCCACCAATTGCTCCTTGGAAACCCTATACAGGGTCACTATGAGTTGGAAGTGACTGGAGGGCACTTGACAACAATAGAAACAGCACAAGACCATAAACTTGGAAAACCACTATGGGACCCATACCAAGTGCCACTAGTGTTGGTGGAATTGCTCCCAATAAGCAGAGAAAAGTCATGACCAATTGAATTGCTTGATCAGTACAATAGATGGATATCAGCAGATACAATTGTCCACCATTTCAAGATAAATAAATTCAGTGTAAGGAACGTTGTAAAAAAAAGAAAAGGAAATCCATGGAAGTCATCAATGCAGCTATGCCATTTGCACTTTTCGAAAAATACCTATTTTTATCTTGTATTGAAAATGCAGCTTTTATGTAGGTATAATATATAATACATACAGTGATGGTTGTGGTGTGCCATGGAGTTGGCTCTGACTCATAGCAACCCTGCGTAGGGTTTACGAGGCTAAAATCTTTACGGACATAGAAAGCTTCATCTTTCTCCCACGAAAGAGCTGTTAGTTTGAAACTGCTGACCTTGAGGTTATCAGCCTGACTCATAACCACTATGCTATCAGAGTTCCTTATAATACATATGAGTGGCTTCAAAAGTTCATAGAAAAATGGAATGAGAAGTTAATTTTTCCAGGAGCTTCTTGAAGTCCCCTCGTATAATATTAAAATGTGTTTATCGACTGTTGATGTTTTCAGTGGGATTTCCAGCCAACAGCAGGCTATTAGCAGTCAAGTATGGAGGGAGTCAAAACTTACAAACTTACACTTGGCTTTTTGACAGTTCAGGGGTTTGCACCCCTAACACACGTGTGATTCAAGGTTCAACTGTATATTTAAAGTTTTTCATGTTTTTATTTGCATTAGCGACACAAAGTTTTAAACATTCTTTACGGAATGAACATTTTTGGAATATACTTTTTCTTCCCCACTTGTAAAGACAACATTGAAAACTACTGTACATATTTTCTTTGTGTCAAGATAGAAATTGCTAAGAGAATGAAAATGTGTCCCTAACACATTGTTATTAATTCTAACTCATAGTGAAGGGTCAGAGTAGAACTGTCTCCTACAGTTCCTAGGGCTGTAATCTTTAAGGACCGAGTCCTGGTGTGGCGCTGTGGGTTAATGCGCCAGACTGCAAAGTCATTTGAACTGCAAGGTAGGCGGTTCAAGCTCGCCAGCTGCTCCTCAGAAATCCTATACAGGGTCACTATGGGTTGGAATCGATTCGACGGCACTTCACAACAACAACAACAATCTTTAAGGAAGCAGATTGCCATGTCTTTATCCCTCAGAGCAACTGGTGGACTTCAACTGCCAATCTTTAGTTTCACAGCCAAGTGCTTACACATTGTGTCACTGGGGCTCTTTAGCATTTATTTTCCTCATCTGTGGCTCTTGTGGGCACTATAAAGGCTTTGTACGCTTGTAATGTTTTGTCATCCAATATGGCTTCATTGTTCACCCTTTGCTTGCTGACTAGAGGTGATACTGTGAAGTACAGAGAGCTGGGAATCAGAAGACCAGGAGTTCCCCTTCTGACTCTGACTTTGAATACGTGCCATTCTTTTTATATATATATATATATATATATATATATATATATATATATATATATATATAACTTCTGATTGTATATATAAACTTCTGCTTGTGAATTGAGTGAGGTTTACAGAGCACATCCTCAGTTTTACATTCAACAAGTCAAACACACGTCATTTCACTCAATGATTGCAATTCATTAACTGTAACATCGCTTACCCCACTTTCTCTCTGTGGCTCTTGTTTCCATTCCTCTCTCTTTCCCAACTCTTCCGAATTTTGTCCCTGGGTGAATGCTGCCCTATTGATCTCAAATGGTTGAGCATACTATGGTGCATGTACCTCACTACTGGTCCCATGGGATGTGTTCTGAGTGAAGTTTATTACATCCCAGGGATACGGATACTTGTCCTGCTAACTTCACTGACTTGTTTTGGATTTAAATGAATAGTGCTATATGAAGGCTCATTGCAAATAGCAAGAGCTATACAAATATGAGGAACTTTCAAAAGTTCATGAAAAAAATTTCATTATCTTTTAATTCCAGTTTCCACAAACTTTTTGAAGCCCCCTCATATATGTGGTTGTGGTGGTTATGTGCCATGGAGTTGGTTCCAACTCATAGCAAGGCTATTAAACATTTATGAGAGCAGAAAGCCTATCTTTCTCCTACAGAGCAACTGGTAGTTTCAAACTGCTGAGCATGAGGTTAGCAGTCTAATTTGTAATCACTACGCTATCAGAGCGTCTTCATATTTGTGGTACTAACACCTAAAGTGTTATATGCATTTTCACAAGAAAGTGACACTTTTTATCTAAAAGACATCTTGACTTTTTTTCAGTATGTTGAAATTTAATTTCTTTAAAAGACAAAAAGAAAACTATAAAAGCTATAGAAATTACCTTCAATAACTACATAGGGATTTTCCATAATCATATATATATATATGGAGCTCTGGTAGCGTAGTGGTTATGAATTGGGCTGCCAACCTCAAGGTCAACAGTTTGAAACTACCAGCTGTTCCGCGGGAGAAAGATGAGGCTTTCTGCTCCCGTAAAGATTTACAGCCTTGGAAACCCTGCGCAGGGTCACTATGAGTCGGTGCCGACTCCACGGTACTTAACAACAAATATATATATACACAGATACTTTATTCTCCAAAATGGAAACTCTTGTCCTCAGACCATTTTAAAAGAATGAATTGTGAATTATCATGATGTACTTTTTATAACCTGAATTTTATTGCTTACTATTATGATATTACCAGTTTCATACAGATTTAGCATTTATATTTTGTCTAAAGAATTTTTCATGCTTTTTATTATATTAAAAGCAGAGATGATTCCATGAGAAGATAGCAATGATAATGCTCTACATATCCTGTAGTATTCTTCATCTTGTTCATGTTTATGTAGGATTAGTACTAACAGCAAAGCATCAATCTTTGGTTCATATATTTCACATATTTATTTAATAGCACATTCTATGCCCTTTATTGAGTTAAAAACAAAGCTACATCAAAAAGCTGAATGCAGAAACAATAAAGTGGTATCTTTTCTTTAAAAAAAAAAAAAAGGTTGTTGAATGTTTATATAGTGCAAAATACTAGTATTTTTCATTTTGAAGAGTCCTTGAGTTTTCAAACTTAATGCAACTGAGCTGCACTTGATTCGTTTATGTTTGGAACATACCACTTCCCTTGCCCTCATTTGTATTGTCACAGAGGAAATGGGTTTTTAGTACACATGATTCAGAGGGGAAAATGGCATATTTAATTCCAAAATACTCCTTACATTAGAAAAAGACCTCTTTTGGTGTTGCCATGTTTATTTTATAGTAACAGCAGAACAATTTAGTGTTAGTGCAGAAATACAAAGAGTGTTGTTCAACAAAATACTATTTTCTAGTTGCCTTACAGAAATGACTTACTCAAGAAAGCAGGACAAAAATTCTCAGTTTCATGAATCAGCTTTGTAAATATTTTGCCAGAACTTTTTTGTATCTTAGTGTGGGGAAAACAAATTTCTAAAACGTTTAAAAGCTATATGTGTCTATTTTGTTTTAGCTTGGTGTATTTATTAAGAGTAAACTCTGTATGTCTTTGTAGCTCATCAATATGTGTATTTAGAAGTTTTTCAAGTTCTTTTGCTCGCTTCTCTTCCTCCAGAAGGAAATGCTGTGCAGCCAAGGAAGCTGGAATAGACATATCTGGGGGAGACTAAAGAAAGAAAGAAAGAAAATTTAGATAAGGAATGCAGTCTGTTTTAATCTTCCTATTTCCAGGCATGCTTCTTTCCTGACATCCACTGCAACATCTAATGAAATAATACATCTTGAACTGACCGACACCCCCACCCCCCAACCCAGTGTAATGCAGTCAATGCTAATGAATTCCCCAAGGAATTGAAACATTACAGCATGGTTACATTAAAAAGCTCAAGAAACGCATATTATAGTGTCCAGCTGCAAATGCAAGGGAAATTAACCTAGTGCCTACCCAAAACCTACTCCACTAATTTGCAAAGCCAATGATTCTTTTCTGAAAATAGGCAAGTCCAAAAGGTTAAAGTAAAGATTATAGTAGAATTGAGCAAAGAAGCTTATAGAGAGAATTGGCTTAACAAGGAGATAGCATGATGCATATAGGGGTGGGAGAGAGTAGGGATTGGCTTTTAGTACGAAAGGCCCGAATGCTGGGTGTGTCTTATGTCTCATCACAGCCGAGGGCACAGTGACAGTACCCAGTCCCATCCATAGTAATGGTGACAGTTGGTGACTGTGTGCCATGGAGTGGATGATTGTATCTGTGAGCTGTGGATTCGGTTCTGACTCATAGTGACCCTGCATAGGGTTTCCCAGGATGTAAATGTTTATGGGAGCAGAAAGCCTCATCTTTCTCCTGTGGAACAACTGGTACTTTTGAACTGCTGACCTTGAGGTTAGCAGCCTGACTTGTAACCACTATGCCGTTGTTGTTGTTATGTGCCATGGAGTCGGTTCTGACTCATAGTGACCCAGTACAGGGTTTCCGAGGCTGTAAATGTTTATGGGAGCAGAAAGCCTCATCTTTCTCCCATGGAACACCTGGTAGTTTCGAACTGCTGACCCTGAGGTTCGCAGCCCAATTTGTAACCACTACGCTACCAGAGGCTCCATGCAACCCTAGTAGCAGGTGCTATTTATTAGCTGTATGGGACCTGTTTAGTGCTTATTTACAGAAACAAACACATAAACAGAAAACACCAGTGGCTGAGGAACAAATTGTAAAAAAAAATTCATTAATTTTACAGTGCTTCATTCCAAAATAAAAAAGTAATTTAACAAAATAAATTGGGACATTTTTAATTTTAACTTTCCAGCTCTGTGGTCTTTAGACCTGTCTACAGTTTTTGTTTTGATAGGTAACATGGGACTTAGTAAAGTGTTTGAAGAGTCAATAAATGAGTAAACCATGTTGCAGGGGGATTTCACCAGTCTGGTCCCTGCCCAAAACACCCAGTATGGATTATGACAGTTGGTAGTGGATTATTGTAAACATAGCCAAGTGGCAGCCTCAGATATAGCTTCTGTGCCAGATAGAGTATCTTTATTAAAGTAGAATATTACAGCTTTCTGTACATGCTATGCTGTTATGGATGAGGCAAATACTGACTTTTTAGTACCCCAAAACAAGGATGATCAGAAAGAGCATTCACATGGATGGACAACAGTATATACCCATAATATTGTCCAAGTGTTAATTCTACTGTCTCAGTAAATTCTGAAGGGGCCGGAACTATTTGGACATTTGTATTCACACTCACATAAGGAGTCCTGGTGTAGTGCTGTGGGTTAATGCGCTGGACTGCAAGGTTGATTTGAACTACAAGGTTGGCGGTTCCAGCTCACCAGGTGCTCCTTGGGACCCCTATACAGGGTTGCTATAGGTCAAAATTGATTCAAAGGCACTTAACAACAGCAGCAGCTCTTTCAGGAGATATATTTATAAATATATATAGTGTGGGACTGTAGGATCAGCACTGGACTGTGAATCACTAGGTTGGCAGTTCAAACCTACCAGCTGCTCCTTGGAAACCCCTACACAGGGTTGCTATGAGTCAGAACTGACTTGATGGCACTTAACAACAACAAGGTTAAGAAGACCTGACGAGCAAGTAGTGGTTACATGTAAAGAGAACTTGGAAAGACAGATCTACTCCAGAGTGTGGGAGAACAAACCTATAAGGGTTCAAGCACTTGAAAGCTTTGTGAAGATTTTAGGGGTGTTGCTGTGGTACAGGGCATATTAGGACATCATCTCTTCAGTAAAGCATAAATAATGTACCTTATACCCTGTATGTAAGGAGCTCTGGTAGCGTAGTGGTTATGAATTGGGCTACAAACCTTAAGGTCAGCAGTTCGAAAGTACCAGCCACTCCACAGGAGAAAGATAAGGCTTTCTGCTCCCATAAAGATTTATAGACTCAGAAACCCTGTACAGGGTCACTATGGGTCAGAATCGACTAGATGGCACTTAACAATAACAACACCCTGTATCTACACTTGATCTTAGCCAAAAGCCTCATATGCATGTGAAAGTTGGACAGTAAATAAGGAAGATTGTAGAAGAATTGATGCCTTTGAGTTATGGTGTTGGAGGAGAATACTGGAAGTGCCATGGGCTGCCAAAATAACCAATAGATCCATTTTGGAAGAAGTGCAGCCAGAGTGCTCCTTGAAGGCCAAGATGGCCAAACTTCATCTCTCATACTTCGGACATATTGTCAGGAGGGACCAGTCTCTGGAGAAGGATATCATGTTTGGTAAGGTGGAGAGTCAGAGAAAAAGAGGAAGACCCCCAAGAAGATGGATTGGCAAAGTGACAACATCAATGGGCTCAAACGTGGCAACAATAGTGAGGCTGGCCCAGGATCTGGCAGTGTTTAATTCTGCTGCGCCTAAGGTCGGTATGAGTCGGCACCAACTTGATGGCACCTAACAACAACAAATACCCTGTATCAAGGAGCTCTGGTAGCGTAGTGTTTATGAGTCAGGCTGCTAACCTTAAAGTCAGCAGTTCAAAACTATGAGTTGTTCAGTGGGAGAAAGATGAGACTTTCTGCTTCCGTAAAGATTTACAGCCTGGGAAACCCTATGCATGGTCTCTATGAGTCAGAACCGACTCCACAGCACACCGTCACTACACCCTGTATCACAAAGATAGAAGCACAATGCTTCACAGGTCTCTTCTGGTTTTGAAGGGAGTATATTCCACACTTGGAAGTACTGAATGGGCCCATTTTTCAGGTGATATTGAGGGCTGCTTTTTACAGAAAGAAAGGGCTCTGTAGCTGGTTCTGGATGGGCAACAAGCTGTATGGCTACTTGGGCCAAAGGGTCTGGGAGTTTCCATACTAGAAAAGTCTCATGTAGAAACAGAGACCTCATGGAGCTTCTGGCAAGGCTCAGTGGAAAAGTTGTATTACAGAGCCTTAAGTTTCTGGAACAAGTCCATGCCATCTGCAGCAGAAAATGACACTATTTGCAAAACAGTTCCTATCATGAGACTGAGCACAAAGAGACAGAGCATCTAAGCAAGTAAACAGAATGATTTATCAGCAGATATCATCCAGACTTGGTTTTTGGCCACCCCAGTGAAAATTATGCATGGACCCAATAACATGGACCCCTTTTCACCAAGGGTAATCTAGATACTGTCACTGTTGTGTGTCTGATCTGCTTACAATAGAGACCACAGCTGAGCTCCTAGTATGGCACTATCCCTCAAGGAGATCACCTCTTGGTGGCAATTTGATGACATAACACCCCTCAGACCTTGGAAAGGGCAATGTTTTATCCTGATCAGGACTGATGTAGATTGATGTAGCATGGGTTTGCCTTTCCTACCTGTGGGGCCTCAGCTAGCCCTATTATCTGAGAGTTGACAGAGTGACTAATCTTTTGACATGGAATCCTGCTTACTATACTGAAAGGTTTCCCTTTGCTACTGAGAATTAGTTATGCATGTTGGTAATGCTGTAATTGCCTTTTAGGTTAAAAAAGGTCTTTCCAATGAAGAACTCATTGACCTTGCTAAATTCTATCATGTGATCTCCAGCATCGTTTATATCATCAATATCATACTTTCCAGCTGCTGACCCTTCCTCTTTGTTTCCAACCTTTGCATTCCAGTCATCAGTAATATTCAATACATCTTGATGGCATGTTTGAGCAATTTCAGACTGAAGAAGTTAGTAGAATTCTTCACTTTCATCCTCACTGGCTTTAGAAGTTGGTATATAAATTTGAATAATAGTGGTATTAACTGATCTTCCTTGTAAGTGCATGGATATTATCCTATCACAGACAGCACAGTGCTTTAAGATATATCTTGAACTGCTCTTTTTGATTATGAATGCTACTCCATTCCTCTTGAATTTGTCATTCATGATACAGTAAACCATATGACTGTCAGATTTTAAATGGCCAATACCAACCCATTTCAGCTCACTAATCCCTAGAATATGGATCTTGATGCACTTTCATTTCATTTTTGACAACTTCCAATTTTCCTAGATTGATACTTCATACATTCCATGTTCTGATTATTAATGGATGTCTGGAGGTGTTTATCCTCATTTTGAGTTGTGCCCCATTCATGTCATCGTTGTCAGCTCTACTTTGAGGAGGCAGCTCTTCCCAAGTTGAATTCTGACTGGCATGCAACCTGAGGGGCTCATCTTATGGCACTATCTGACAATATTCTGGTGCAATTTATAATGTTGTCATCTTCCAGCACTATATCTGACAATACTATGCTGCTATTCATAATGTGGTTACGAATCAGGCTGCTAACCTCAGGGTCAGCAGTTCGAAACTACCAGCTGTTCCGCAGGAGAAAGATGAGGCTTTCTGCTCCTGTAAAGATTTACAGCCTCGGAAACCCTGTACAGGGTCGCTATGAGTCAGAACCGACTCCACAGCACATAACAACAACATTAATAATGTGGTTAACCATTCATAAATAACCCGTCTCTCCTTCCTAGTCTGTCTTGTATTTAAAATACCAGTGGCATAGCTTCCAGCATCACAGCAAAACACAAGTCACTGCAGTATGACAAACTGACAGATGAGCAGCAAATATCAAACAATATGGATGATGAATCTTAAATAGTACTGGATAAAAGAAGTCAGACACCTAAGAAAGTAAATAGTATGTATAATCTTACTAACATAAAATCCACAAATGGCCAAAACTCCTTTATAATGTTAGAAGTTAGCACAGTGGTTACCTGGGAGAAAGGTGGAGAGGGCAGGAGGGGGCTTGTGAAGAGCTGGTAATGATTTGTTTCTTGACCTAGGTGGCAGTTACATTGAGGTGTTGTGATAATGCATGAAGTTGTCTACTTATGATCTTTGCATATTTGTGTATGTATGTCTGAGTCAATAAAAATGATTTCTTTAAAAAGGCACAAAAGCTCACTTGTAGCTCCTGAGATTTCATGGACTATTTCAGGGTGAGTGCTGTTAAAACACATCATCAGTGATTTGGGTCTGGAACAGAGATGAGAAAGCATTGACCAAAACACTTCATGAAACATGATGGCTCACTTTCCCCTCGTAGATATGGTCTTAACACCTATGTATATTGATTTTCAGTGGCAAGAGTAAGGTAATCACTCCTTAAAGGGGAAAAAAAATCCAATAACCAGCAACTCACCAATGGGAATATTTCATCATCACTAATCAAAGGGCTTGCTATTTCTTTGGTTTGAAATGTCAAGGGTGGCAATGGAGACGTTGTGCTTTTATTTGTCTCACAGTCTTGACTTAGTCTGAAAGAGAGAACAAAGTTAGATAGAACATCACTCACTGTTGTTATCAAGGCACATTCTTGGTTATATAAAGAGGTTTTAAATTTTTCTGATATCTACCTAGGGGAAAAACACAACAGAATGTTTGGACATCTGGGTATTTCTTTGAAAATAATTTTCCTGATGAATAATCTCTACTTCGCTTCAGAAAGCTTTGTAATTATTAAAAACAGTCTGCCACTTTTTGTTGTTAAGAGCTGTAGCATTCATACAGACTCATAGCGACCCTGAATAGGGTTTCCGAGACTGTAAATCTTTGCAGGAACAGAAAACCTCATCTTCTAAGGAGAGGCTGTTGAGCTCGAACCACTAACCTCGTGGTTTGCAGCTTAGTGTTTATCCTACAGAGCCACTGCAGCATTGTTATTTTCCATATTCTCTCTTTGAATTTTACTTTGTATCTTTATTATTTAATAACACAAAACCAGTTTGAGAAAAATCTCAAAATAACTAATGCAATTGCCCTTGTCAGTTCTAAATACATACTTGTTTTCTTTTCAATATTACACAACCTCACTGGCTTTCTTCACAGAATTACACTTTTTTTTTGATGCTAGCACAAGCCTTTGTGTAATAATAATTCTACTATTATTGTTGTTAAGTTGTTAAATTTTGACTCATAATGACCCTGTATAGGGATTTATACTTTTTGTTGTTGTTGTTAATGCTAGAACAAGTCTTGTATAATAATAATTATATTTTCTATTATTGTTGTTATGCTGTTGAGTTTTGACTCAAAATGACCCTGTATAGGAGGTTATACTTTTGTTATTGTTGAAGTTATTACAAGTCTTGTATAATAATAATTCTACTTTCTATTATTATTGTTGTTAAGTTGTTAAAATTTGACTCATAATGACCTTTGTAAGGAGTTTCTGGGGAGTGGCTGGTGGGTTTGAACAGCCAGCCTTGTGGTTAACAGTCCCGAGCTTATCCTACAGCACCACACCAGGACACGCTACTTTCCACTATTGTTGATTAAGTGCCATCGAGTGGACTTCAACTCATAGCGACCATGTATAGGGTTTTCAAGGAGTGGCTAGTGAGTCTGAACTGCTGCCCTTGAGATTCAAACCAATATTGAGGTCCAATGTCTATTCTATAGCGCCACACCAGGACAATAATTTACAACGTGTTTTCAATTTATATCATCTCCTAGCTCCTCCACTTACTAGCTGTGTGGTCTTGAAAAGATTATCTCTGTGTGAATTTAATGTTCAAACCCACCAGCCACTC